GTATGAACGCCTAGATCTCGGAAGTTATACGAGCTGAAGAGCTGAAACTTTGTATGCATACTCGTGTATACCATAAGCAGTACAAGTTTATCATATTTAATCGATAACTCATCTGATTTCTATTTTATCGAAAATAATCGAAAAATTGATTTTCATTTTTTCAGCCTAATTTAAATTTAAAACCTGGAGACTTCAGATTTACCATTTATATAAATTTGCTGAACAACGTGTAAAAATGCATTTTAAGTAGTATAGACTAGTGCTTAGGAATATATCATTTAATTTCATAAAGATAGTCCCACTGCAGGTGAAACTACTCAACAAGTAAGTTCTCATGGTATGACCGAGATTGCAGCGCAGCTCACTCGCAGTCGCTGCTTACTGCGCAGTTAGCAGAGCACGTGCTTATACGTGCGTGAATGCATATGTATGTATGTGTGTATAAAAGAAGAGCAGAATAATTAGAATATCAGCTTGGAGGGTTCAGGGTATCTCCTAGTCGAGCGGTCCCGTCTAGAGCCTTCTTGTAGTTTATTATTATTATTTTTTTTTTTGTTTGCCTTTGTAAATGAATGGAGCCAAAGTTCCCATTTTGAATATTTCTATTCTTTAAAAAGTGAATGCGATAAGTTAGTTCAGTGTGCGCTTTACATCAGTCATCCAAACCAAGACAGACTGTTTGACTGAGACTCAGTGATACCCGACCGCAACACCGTGACTTTTGTGAAGTGCTGAAGACTGTTGTTCCTCTTGTTGTCACTGTTGCCATTGATATTGCTGATGCTGCTGTTGTTGTTGCTGCTGCTGCTCTTGCTGTTGTTATTTTACTCTAGTGCAGGCGCCACTGACATTGATGATGATTATTGGGAGTAAATAGAATTGAAAGTGCGCCCGCCACTGGCAAAAGCTCGCTTTGGGCTGAGGACACGTGAGCTGCTGCTGCTGCTGCTGCCGTTACCCTTTGCCCATAACACGATACCCGTACCCTCTTACCCTTTCCCCGTGCCCCATTGCCCATCGCCCGTGTGTGCTCCTCTGTTTATGTCTGTGTGCGTTTGCATAATGCGCGCAAATAAATTGCAAAATCAATTGAGCGGTAAAATAGTTTTCCTAACAACTCGTTGCTATTGAGTGAAAGTCCTGCCTTCCTCCAGCTACGGGCACATCATCAGCCTCAGTCACAGTCCCAGTCCCAGTCACAGGCGCAGGCACAACATCAACATCAGCATCAGCCACAGCTTCAGCTCAGTCTCAGTCTCAGTCTCGGCCGGGGCTTTAGTAACTGTCACGCCTATTTGGAACGCCCTCAAGTTGAAATTGAAGTCTGCAGCCAATGCGAATTACAGGGTAGAGCCGAACAATGGAAACTTTCGTTCGTCGGGCTGGCAACTCGAGCACAAGGCCATCCAAGCATTCACTTGGATCCACTGGAATGCGCTGAATAATAAGGACGCCACTTCTCGGTCTATAGGCCATGTAAGTGACCCTGTCAATCAGGCA